GGTTAATACTAAACCGCAGTAGTGGTCTGTGACGATTTTTTTTTTTCGGAACAGCCACAAATCCAGTTGTTTCGTAAATATGCCTGTATTAAACAGTCTTTTATATGTTTTCCTACGATTCTGTCCAGCAACTTCAATCCGCCCTCCTTTACATTTAACTGTTCATGATTATTAAGTTAGTTTCCTTTAATTTAAATTCCATTTTTTCACCACACCTTCAACCGCCATGAAGATACTCAGCTTTGGGCTGTTCTGTTCGAGATGCAGCTATTTAGGAGGCTTTCGGCGTCATCGAAAACAAACCCGACTGAGCTTCGGTTTATTCACCGTTCACGCACACAGGTGAAGCTGGTGAAGATTCGAGCTGTCAGTATTGTCGATCGGATGATTTCTGAGAGCCTCGAGAACTGTACCATAGTATAGTATATATAGTATAGTTGGGTGGTTGGTAGGAAACTATTAAGAATAATAAATTGTACATTTCTGCTACATTTCTGTTATAATGTCTGTGCCTTTTTGTAATTGTATGATACCTACTTCTTCCATGAATAAAAAATAATTTCATCAGGTCGTCTGTGGTTGTTGATGAGCCGAGCGTTATTAAGTAAATAACTTAGGTACACAGTAATCGCCATATTGTTCCCATTTAAATCCATGAAACTATTTATTATTTGAGATGGAAAAACTCGCAATTAACTCCGCCAGAGATTATTGAATCAGCAAAGCAAATAGAGTGTAATTTATTACCAGAAAAATCGAAGAAGATATATCGACAAACATAAAAAATATATTGATTACCGTGCTGAAAATAACCTTGCCTTTTCCAGAAAATGTAACGAGCGGTCAAATAAAAACGTGTTCAAGTTGGTTCTGAAAATTTGGACGTAGGGCGTAGCGTATAGCAAATGAACTTAAACGTCATCTGTCAAAGCGCTATATCGCCGCTATCAATATGAATATTTTCGTTTTAAAAAGCGTTTAAAATGGTGTTTTCTCAAGAACAAGAAGTGTTTATCATAGAGTCCTACTTTAGAAATGGAAGCAAGATTGATGGAATATGGAAGTATTCTATTGAGGAATGTTGCATAGAATTTCAAAATCAATTTCCCGGCGTTGTTGAGTATAAAATTTTTCAAAGTGCAGTTCAGCGTTGTGTTAATGTTTTTCGTGAAACGGGCAGTGTAACAAGAAAAGAAGGAAACGGCCGACCTAAAAAGCGGACTGAAGAATTAAAAGAAAATTTCCAACAAATAATGGAAAATGCGCCAAGAACTTCTGTACGTGTTTTATCACAAATGGTGGGAGTATCAGTCGGTACCTGCCACACAGTGTTAAAAAAAGATTTGCGTTTGTTCTCCTATCGTTTAACTTGTCAGCAAGAACTTCATGAAGTTGATTTTCCGCGACGGGCTGTATTTTGTGAATGGTTTTTAAACAACTACGGTGAACTTCATAATATCACCTTTTTTTCTGATGAAGCCTGGTTTCATTTAAGTGGTTACGTAAACTCACAGAATATGAGAATGTGGTCTTCTGAAAAACCAGATAACTTTTTTGTCGAGGGCCCTCTACACGCTCAAAAAATTGGAGTTTGGTGTGCTCTCAATCGAAGGAGGATTTATGGACCTATTTTTTTTAATGGTACTCTTACTACGCAAAGGTATAGAGAAGAAATTATCGCTCCTTTTGTTAACCAGCTGGTAGAAAACGAAATTACAAACTTTTACTTTCAACAAGATGGCGCAAGGGCACATACGGCAGGCGAGACGATGAATATGTTGAGGGAAGTTTTCCAAAATCGACTAATAAGTCTCAATGCTGAACATGAATTTCCACCGAGGTCATGTGATATTACGCCGTGTGATTTCTTTTTGTGGCCTTACCTTAAAAACACTATTTTTGAACTGCCTATTCCTGATTTAAACCATCTGCAGGCTCGACTTATAGACAAGATTCGTGAAATTAACAATACAACGAGCATATTAGAAAATGTCTTTAATTCTTTGAGGAACAGGTGTGAAAAATGCTTGGAACAAGGAGGGGGACACTTTCCGCAGCTCCTTTAATTGTTTGTTATTGTTATAACGATTATTCTTTAAAATAAAGTTATATAGTCATTAACGTTATTGAAACTGACAGCTGCTATACAGCTCGTTGAGAAATGAGGTTAAGTTGGTCGCTATAAGCTACTCCCTACGTCCAATGTGTCAGAGCCAACTTCGACCACGTTTTTAATTGAACGCTCGTTACTATTGGTAGTAATATTTTTATAAATTAAGCAAAAGTATGAAATCTTCTTCATTATGGTCAATATATGCAATGCTCAGAGCTGCTTTGAATGTCTAACAACATCGATATTGAGAAGTATCTAAAATTAAAAGCATTCTTGAAACGGCAATCGGATGGATATCGTGCTAAAAAATCACTCGTCTTAGAAAAAGAAAAAATTAAAACATTTCTAATGGAGGCCCCCTGATGATACGTATCTTATCTGGGACGTATATCTACCATATGATGAATTATTATTATTGAAGATATGGGAAATAGGTTCCTGATCACTCTGCCAACCACAACAACAAAGAAAAAAAATCCTTTATTGTAAGCGAATATTTAGACATTATGTCCGAAATATAGTACATACTGCAAGACCTACACAAATAGATAGTAACAATTTTTTTTAATGTTCAAATGGCAAAGCATATAACCAATTAATAGGAATTCATAAATTTGGGAAAATGCCAAAACAAATTGCTTCGTTTCTCAAATTGAAAGATGCTCACGAATATACCGGACATTGTTCCCGTAGAACAGCTACATTATTAATAAATTCAGCAGTTGATATCACAACTGTAAAAATGCATGGTGGTTGGAAATCTTTGACGGTAGCTGAAGGCTAGCATTGAGGAATCCATCTCGTAAATCAGTTGTTAGCAAAATTTCCCTACTGCAAGTACATCAGGTGCTGGAAGGGATTTTTTAAATAATTCAACTGCTTTGGAAGATTCAATAGTTCATACTAGTGATAACATTTCAACCTACATAGACGAAGTAAATGTTTCAAAACAAAAAAAACAAGGGATATCCCTTACAGCTTTTTCTAATTTCACTCTAAATGTTTACAATAATAGTTATTATTTACATCAGTCGAGAACGATTTTGCGCCCGAGCGGAGCGAAGGCAGGCAATAGAGTCTGAGACTGGTAAATTATACTTAACTGCTGCGTGGTGTATCACATTTTATCTGCTACCACAGTTCTTTATGGCTCATGAAGTAAAGATTAGGTTCTATTTTTTGACATTTCTTTATCTTAATCTTGTCTTATCTTAATGGCATTTTGACATTATTCGAAATCTTGCAAAGTCACCTAGGTTGTTTGGATTTTGTCGTTTCTAAGGTGTTTACAAACAAAGCTACATAAAAGTTCCAATTTTGCTGGTTTTGAATTATTATTTCTAAATGAATGATTTTCAAATAGAAAATGCAGCTGCCTGCGAATTTTTATTGCCCCAGAAATATATCAATTTAGATTGAAAATTAAAACAGAAATTTCACCCCTTTTATGCGCTATCAAGCAGGTAGATGTTACAACTAACCAGTCTGCAAGAATACCCTTTCTATGATTCCTAATAAGATTGCACAGTTTTTGAAACTAGAACATCCCGAAACATATACAGACCATTCATTCCGAAGAACATCGGCAACGTTACTGGCTAATACAGGAGTTGATATGTTAGCAATCAAGAGACATGGCGGGTGGAAATCAGCCACAATTGCAGAAAGTTATGTTGCTGACAGTTTAAGTAACAAAAATGAAATAGCCGACAGGATTCTTTACAATGACACTTTAACTCCAGGTTCTAGTAGTACGTCGCATAATGCTGTTTTAATGGATCTTTCAGATATTCGTTATCGAATTTCGTTATCTTTCGCGACAGTAAAAATGATTCTAATGCTTAGGCAGTAAATGTGACACTTTAGTGCCTGACAGCTGACACTAAAACTATGCATTTAATGTCGATCGGGAAAAAATAAAAATCCACTGTTTTTAGTATTTGTTTATTTACGTAGCAACAAACATTAAACTACATATAAACGAAACAATGTATAAAATCCTATGATAATACAATAATAAAAAACCGAATCAGGCTCCAAATAAATAACTAAATAAGGTACAAAAGACAATACTGAAGTACATACTGTTCACATAATATTAAGAGAAAATGCTGCTCAGCAAATAAAATGACTAGAATCAGAATGGAATGTGCCTAGCTAGAACACGTATTTTAGAATTATCACTATATGTTCGGTAAACTTACAAACATATTAATTTTTTTTAAATGCTGGTCTAACTAATCAGATCTATTTTGAGTTAAGGGGTGGGGGCGGCGACGTCGTCGAACTCATAGAGAGTTGGGCTGGAAGTCATGAGCTCGGCGACGATCGCTTGGGGAACGGTTAGGGGCTGTGTTTATTGGATGTCCACCAGGTTCGCTAGGAATCTCCTGTTGTCCTCCAGCCTCTGTCGGAGCTTCTCCTTGGCGTAGGCGTTCCTCAGGCTCTGGATGGGGGCCTGGATCGACAGACTGGGCCTGTTCAGGTCGTAGTTGTACCTCTTGTTCCTGATTTTCTTGGGCTTCGTTATCTGCAAAGAGAGAGAACAAATATTAACAAAGTTCTTCTCAGGCATCCAATTTTGTGCGGCTTTTTTGGCGCTCTCGAGCAGTGAAACTTTTTAAAGTTGAATTAAAGGATTACTTCCTTAAGTTTTAGAAATAGTAAGAGTTTAATTTTGACCGTAATTCTACATCGACGGAAATGAGATTTTCTTAGGAAATCATGAGGTGTCTGTATTTAAATTTCATTTCCGTGAGTTGGAATAAAAATCGTTCATAATAATTTACAGTTCTTTGTGAAGTTTTAATTTCTTTATCTTACGGCGAATGAAGTGAAATATACAGTACGTGCCAATTNAAACGAAACAATGTATAAAATCCTATGATAATACAATAATAAAAAACCGAATCAGGCTCCAAATAAATAACTAAATAAGGTACAAAAGACAATACTGAAGTACATACTGTTCACATAATATTAAGAGAAAATGCTGCTCAGCAAATAAAATGACTAGAATCAGAATGGAATGTGCCTAGCTAGAACACGTATTTTAGAATTATCACTATATGTTCGGTAAACTTACAAACATATTAATTTTTTTTAAATGCTGGTCTAACTAATCAGATCTATTTTGAGTTAAGGGGTGGGGGCGGCGACGTCGTCGAACTCATAGAGAGTTGGGCTGGAAGTCATGAGCTCGGCGACGATCGCTTGGGGAACGGTTAGGGGCTGTGTTTATTGGATGTCCACCAGGTTCGCTAGGAATCTCCTGTTGTCCTCCAGCCTCTGTCGGAGCTTCTCCTTGGCGTAGGCGTTCCTCAGGCTCTGGATGGGGGCCTGGATCGACAGACTGGGCCTGTTCAGGTCGTAGTTGTACCTCTTGTTCCTGATTTTCTTGGGCTTCGTTATCTGCAAAGAGAGAGAACAAATATTAACAAAGTTCTTCTCAGGCATCCAACTTTGTGCGGCTTTTTTGGCGCTCTCGAGCAGTGAAACTTTTTAAAGTTGAATTAAAGGATTACTTCCTTAAGTTTTAGAAATAGTAAGAGTTTAATTTTGACCGTAATTCTACATCGACGGAAATGAGATTTTCTTAGGAAATCATGAGGTGTCTGTATTTAAATTTCATTTCCATGAGTTGGAATAAAAATCGTTCATAATAATTTGCAGTTCTTTGTGAAGTTTTAATTTCTTTATCTTACGGCGAATGAAGTGAAATATACAGTACGCGCCTATTTTTACTGAATTTATTCCATAATTTAGGAGCGTACTGTATTTCAGAGGTGTATCAAATTTCATTTATTAAAAAAAAATACTACAAAAAATATATAAAATCGGATGATATAAGGCTAAAGACTGATAAATACCTTCCTTATTTTTTTTACCTTTCTCTGTCTACAAATTTAAAGGCGGAAAAACATAAATACACACTGATTCCATGGCAATCTTGACTTTATCCATTACGGAGGGTCAGTAAAAAAACCAAAATATTGTGTTTGGTGTATATATTCGAAATGCCAATTTTTTTTTATATATTTCATTGATATCGCAACAAAATTTTCTAAAACTTTGTTCAAGATGGAAAAGTAAAAAAAATAAGGAAGTAGAATGTTTTGTGAATTATCCTGCACATAGAAATACACTAGAACCGTTTTAAGATTGACATTACGTCACGAGCGTGTCCTAATATCAAAGACAGTCGTAGCGAACGTGAATCGATACATTTTATTTTATTTATTTAAAAACTGGAAAACAATTATCTTGACTAAAAGTTTCACAATAATAGTTGTTTACATTTTTTCCGTAGGACAAGTCTGCCGCGTGCACACGTGGTATGCACCAGATGTGTAGCATTAGGTTAAGCGCTGTTGTCACGCTGTGATGAAACTCCCCAATATTAATACTCGCTGTATTTTGAAAACTGTTAATCTTACGCCCATCTAATATAAAACTGTATTGTTCATTTATGATTACTCTATCTCATGCTGAAGTAATGGCAGTCAAACTTCTTAGACCCTGTACATGTCTTCATAGTCTCAATCTATCACAGACGACCGTTCCAATATTTTAAGTGTATTAGAGTGAAAGAAAATTGGTGACGTTTGTTAGGTATTAGTTTTAGACTGTAGTTTGACTACCGCAGTTGAAACAAAACAGAGCTGACATTCAGATTAAAAATTTGACAGTGTAAGCACTAACTGTTGTTTATATTTTCTGAGCGTAGAAATATCGATTTTTTCGTAACCAGTAACACCAGTATTAAAATTTAGAAGATAACCAGATTTGGGAATTGTCAAGACGACATTTCAATTATATGAAAATAATGATTAAGTTGACTTGGATTTTTCGTGTTAGTTCATACGAATATTTCTTGTGACGCAATGGAAAAGATACAGCGGTTTTAGTGTAGTTTGTGGCTCAACATCAATTTAGTTATTTCGATCCTGTGTACGAAAATGTCGAAATGAATCATTCAACGCTCTGTGGTGATATAATATACAACTTATTTATTTACTAGATGACAAAAGCGAACCAGAAATATTGAAAACATATAAAATTGCACTTAAACGTACAGAAACCGTACCCTACTGTTTGATAAGAATTCTTTTCTCTTACCAGTTATATTGGGTGCCCAGGAACTGGTCGGTATCTTTCAGCCAACCTTATAGCATTAAATATCTCCATCAAAGCGTAATTCAAAAAGTTCGGTTATTTGCTGAACAGACCACGTATTTAACAAGTATTAGTTNTATCGATTTTTTCGTAACCAGTAACACCAGTATTAAACTTTAGAAGATAACCAGATTTGGGAATTGTCAAGACGACATTTCAATTATATGAAAATAATGATTAAGTTGACTTGGATTTTTCGTGTTAGTTCATACGAATATTTCTTGTGACGCAATGGAAAAGATACAGCGGTTTTAGTGTAGTTTGTGGCTCAACATCAATTTAGTTATTTCGATCCTGTGTACGAAAATGTCGAAATGAATCATTCAACGCTCTGTGGTGATATAATATACAACTTATTTATTTACTAGATGACAAAAGCGAACCAGAAATATTGAAAACATATAAAATTGCACTTAAACGTACAGAAACCGTACCCTACTGTTTGATAAGAATTCTTTTCTCTTACCAGTTATATTGGGTGCCCAGGAACTGGTCGGTATCTTTCAGCCAACCTTATAGCATTAAATATCTCCATCAAAGCGTAATTCAAAAAGTTCAGTTATTTGCTGAACAGACCACGTATTTAACAAGTATTAATTTTGATATAAAAACAACGAATTCTTGTTTTTTAGGCATTTATTATTACTAAGATGTGATAAAGGGGATGGTATTTTCATAGTTAAATTCGTTTACCTCGAAAGACGTTCATTTTATCGATAACAAGAAAGTACACCTTTTTCGTGTAATGAAGAATTAAAATCTTAAAAATGGCTAAAAAAATTAAAACAAGTCTATCTATATAGTTTTTAGGCCTCTAGGTAAATTAAATACATTAGTATGAATAGCATAGCGTTTATCCAAAAATTATCTAAGCTTAACGAAAAACAATAAATTTATAACGAAACATCGATTTTCAACTCCCAACTTCGAAAATTGACAACTGTGTATATTGTAAGCGAGAAGAAAAAAATATTATTTATATAAACCCATGAAATCATTTTTGCAAGATCTACTCAAATCCAAATGATTGGCCGTGATTTATTGGACACCCTATGTAACAAATAATTGTGTACAGCTTTTGTAAAATTTGCCCTCGCAGGATGTATCTACTTTTAAATTGGATGCCGAGGTGGATAATGCCCCAATAAAAACATGTTTATATCAAATATAAGTTGATAAATATCAAACATTAAAGGCAATAGGGCGCTTGTTTTTTGAACCCGTACAAAAAAAAACAAAACAATACATTTGTTTAATTTTGTTTTTATTACTGGCATACGGTCTAAACAAATATTTGAGGCAGTAGGGAATATTGATAAAATGAGTAATGGTGATATTTTCTTTCATAAAAATAATAAATAGTCGAATTAGATGATAAAAGTCAATGAATATTATTAATCTCGGTTCAGTTTTATTCGCGCACAGTGATGTTAACTTAGTGACACGTTTTAAGTGTTTATCTATAAAAGTCTATAAAAACATATTTAATTTTAAATAAACTTAGATATTTACTATTTCTGCAAATGTAATCTGTACGATAATTTAATATACAAAATGATGGAACAAAATTAATGTTTTTTTTTTCTATTTCAGATTTAAAAAAATCGCCGAAACAGTCAATTAGTAAATAGAAATTGTCACTTTCCAGCAAAATTTTCTATTTTTCGAGCCATGTTTGAAAGACCTATAACATTACCGACATTTTTTTTAATAGGACGCTCTATATTTTATAGTATAAATAGATAGCCCTTCGAAAGACAAATTCAGATATAAGGCTATATCTACTTTTTTATCATAGTTGTCAAAAAAATGTAAAAAATTGTGTTTTATGTCGTACTGACGACTATTTCAAACAATCGTGGTCTCTTCTGTACTTTAAAAAACTTCCCTACTCTTTTAATTTGTCAGTGTTGCGAGAAACAACTACTCCGAGGGATATATGCCTCTACCGGCAATTTGTAAGCAGATCAACAAAATTATTTCCACATCACCTGTGAGGTAGTGTTCCTAGTGTGTTTTAGTTTCTCCTGGAGGCTTAATCCAATATCTTTACAAATAAGAACAATTTAAATGAAAATAATAATAAAAATACATTTACCAAGTAACAACAATTAAACAAGAAATGAAATTAACGTTACGTATTTGCAGCAATTGTTCAAAATGCGAACCATCCACNTATTGGAGTCGGGAAAATCCTCATTGGATGGCAGAGACACATACCCAACACCCACAGAAATTAAATGTGTGGGCTGGAATAGTTGAAAACAGAATAGTAGGGCCTTTCTTCTTTGAAGGAACCCTTACAGGAGAAAGCTATTTAGAGTTTTTACAAAATGCCATTGTTCCAGCGTTTCCAGTAATTTTTCCTAACGATAATGACCCCGATATTCCTACACCTGGACTATTCTTATGGGGCTACTTAAAGTCCAAAGTGTACGTTAATAGACCACATAATTTAGAAGAACTCCAAAATTGTATTATAGATGAAATACACAGAGTTACCCCAGAAATAATTCATAATGTGCAAGAAGAATTTCTACACAAACTTGCGTATTGTCAAGAAGTCGGTGGATGGCAATTCGAACACTTAATTTAGGTAGAAAACTTAATGAATTGTATTTTCTTGACATAGGAATTATTATTTTTTTAATGAATAAAATTTACGTTTTCTACTTTCCTATGTAAAACGGCAACATTTTAATACTGTACTAATAAAGAAAAAAAATAGGGGGTTGCTATTTAAAAAAATTTCGATGACGTCATTACTCGACAACAAATGACGGTTGAAAATCGCCTTTTATGCTAAATTATGTATTTTTTAAATTAAAAGTCGAACTGTTCGAGGATTTTTCCCCAAAAAAATTTATTTCGTTTTTACTGAATTTATTCCATAATTTAGGCGCGCACTGTATTTCAGAGGTGTTTCAAATTTCATTTATTAAAAAAAATACTACAAAAAATATATAAAATCGGATGATATAAGGCTAAAGACTAGTTCATATTTGATCATACTACAAAAATTGTTGATGTATTGTTCACATAAATACTTTCCTTATTTTTTTTACCTTCCTCTGTCTATAAATTTAGAGGGGGAAAACATAAATACACACTGGTTCCATGGCAATCTTGACTTTATCCATTACGGAGGGTCAGTAAAAAAAACAAAATATTGTTTGGTGTATATTTTCGAAATACATAATAAAAATAAAATAAAAAAAATAATAAAAATTTTCTAA